CGCTCACTGGTGAACGCTCTAAGGAAAGACTTAAGTTGTGGCAAGATAGCGTTTCCTTACCCAACCCATTTGTGCCACTTGCCGAAAATCTTCCACCTGGACACGAGTTGCCATGGCTGACCTGGAAGTCTCTAAACAGACTCCGGACACAGGTAGGCCGAAGTAAAGAAAACCTGTACAGGTGGAGATTCATAGATGACTCTGCCCTGGAGTGTAAATGTGGTCTTGCCCCACAAACTATGGGGCACTTGATATCGTGTCCAGCCTGTCCTGTTACTTGCACATCACAGGAACTGATGGAGGCTACTGAAAGTGCCGAACTCGTCGCCAAATTTTGGGCCGACTCAATTTGAATTGTCATCGACACGCTAAGAAGAAGATCAACTTTATATTAGACGTAAGAGAGTTCCTAATCGAGGTTATATTTAATGTGCGAAATTATTTTTAAATATAAAAGAAACATCTTTCTTAAAATCTTCACCTTTTTCCTAAATCGGATGGTGATAAAATTAACTCAGGCATAGGTAATTTCGGTGATGTTAAGGTTGCACAAAAATTTCATCTCCTTAGTGGTCTTTCTTAGTATTGTTTGAAGTCGGTTCAACTTTTTTTAAAGGGGATTTATTATTGTACTTAACGAACTATTGCCTGTCTCTTCACTGAGGGAATAACACAGTTACTAGTGGATAGATTGCTTTCATGTAATATCCACATCGAATTTGTCCTCACGTCAATGCAGTCTGTTCGTGCACATATGCCACGTTCTGTATTGTTCCGGTTTAATCAATACTTTTAGTACAGACAGTTTAACTGAGGGTTCCACACCCTTGAGAACTGTAAATCACTAGAATGTCACTACTTTTCATGTAAAAACTTTTTCTGTCTGAATATCTTTTAATGTTATTGTTTTTTTTTATCATAACCGTGGTTTCTTTAATTTTCTTATTTTATAAATCAATTGATCACAGATGTCATAAAACTCATTATATAATACAAATCATAAATAATTTTGGTACCATCATTATCACAATCGATCATAAAGCAGAAATGGACCGTGGTTAACTAATGTTAAGCAACAAGGAAAGGAAACTAATAACTACAGCTACTCTACTATATAAACTTTTATAAATTGGTGACACAGCACCGGAGCACATCTGCTGTGTCACCAATTGATAAAAGTGACAGAGTAGATGTAAACGAATGGCTCATAAAGGTCTGATCATATGAACTATGTCTGTCCCACTTGGTTTGTCAATAAATATTTTTAAGATAGGTATCATAAATACAACTTCCTTAAATTACATATTTATTAATATTTATTATGAAAATATTTATAACGAGCAGTAAATAATTTCACATTGTTTTATTTTTATCAGTAATAATCTTTTTTTTCCTTAAATTGCTGAACATATGAGTCCTAAATTAAAGCCCTTGTAACATATGAATAAAAACCTTTTCAAAGGTTTACTGTTTTTATTACAGTGTAATGGACACACTTGTACAAAAATAAAACTCGCGTTTTCGTTCAGTAAACTCTGCAGAAAACTTACATTTCGAATTAAATTTTTTTTTCTATATAGTAAATAATAAGTTAACACTGTTAATCTCACAGTTTGCTCAAATCGTTGTGTGAATTATGTTAATATCTATAATTGAGATACACCTACAAATATTTTGCAGATTAAACGATAATTCTATTCAATTTCGTCTAATCTATTTTTATCGCGCTATCAATAACAGATATCAAACTGCGTGAGTGACGTGTAACATAACAGTATCAATTACACTTACGATAAATTTATTTTTTATCATTTAATATTAATGTTTGTACATTAGTGAAACAAAATGTTTAAGATGAAAATGATTAAATAAAAGTTGGTGTGTATACATACACAACTTTTTTTTTTGTTTCATACTAAATCCTTTGCTGTTAGCCGATATTTTACAGAATTTGAAGGTCTATGTCAATACTAAAGTACCTATTGATAACAATGTGCATTAACACAATGCATTCATAACTTTATTAAATATTCATAGCACATACACAGCAGTCATTTACTCTTTAATTTACATCTGTGTCGGTCTCCATACTTTCAACTAAATAACACGTCATGAAGGATTAGCTTCGCCTATTGCAATACAGTACTGCTCGTACGTTGTATCGCGTACGTAACGTGCTCCACCCGCTAATATGGTCGATATGAATATAATTTATAGCTTACAGCACACAGCGATGATGCGGCTATATATTAGTCGCAGAATTGCCAGAATCGGTTCAGTAGTTTTAAAGATTACCCATACATACCAACAAATTTTACCTGTTTATAATATTATTATAGATTAAAATATTTTTACTTTTAACTATGTATTAAACAAGCTCTGAAAACTAACAGGTTATTGCATTAATAAACTTACTTTGCCCCTGTGATTCACTGAACAAACCCAGGCACCGGTTACATTTCAAAAAATCAACACACAGCTCCACAGTTCCAACTCACATCACATCAACAGCCTTGAATAGTCCACTGCTGGACATAGGCCTCTCCTTAGAATGGAGGTTTTGGCCTACTGTACTGTATTCTTAACTTAAGGTCGCCAACAAGCTTATGACTCCTAAATTGCAGGTGTAAATAAAAATGGTGTGTATAGGCGGCGGTAGTCACTTTCCATCAGGTGACCAGTCTGATCTTTTGTCCGTTCTTCCATAAAAAAATTGAACCTCATCAATCCATTTCGCGTATGGAGTTTTAAAATGTATGAAACTAGGTAAACATGCTCCATTACTTACTCTTTTTTGTTGTGGTAGCAATTGCAATGCGTTATTTACTATATTTATTGGCCTACTGTGCAAAGTCATCTGTTCTTTTAATACAAAGGTAAGCAGACATGTCTTAAATTTTTCCACTTATTCCACAGTATTATGCAGTGAATGTTCGTTTAAAATATACAAAAAAATCAGAAATAAGGACTAAATACTATATTGTTTATCTATATATAACTTTTGCTGTTGACTTTATGTCTTGTCTATGCATGAGAATTGAAACCTAACGATGTAGATATTAATCTATAATATTGCTCTACTTTATTGAGTAAACAATCTTGAGTTAGACTCAATGGATTAGTAGTTTTCCAAGTGTTAAAAAAATACATATTCTTCCAAAACATCTTTAAATAGGTTATACGTTAAATTGTTTGCGACGGTAGTAACTATGAGACCTAGGTACCGTTTAATGTCGAAGCGAAGTAGTCTCTATCTCATTATTTTTAATATTCGTCATAATACGTCATGACAACATAGTCTATTAATTAAAAAGTTTAGATGTTTGTGTAATATTTTTTTTAAAGACCACGTCCGCGCTATGAGTAGGTATATCCTGTATCGCGGGGGACTTTACAAACATACATGAAACGGACACATAGAACACCCAAACTCAAAACGACAACTTTTGGATCACACAAAGTGTCGTCTCATGTGGGGATCGGACCCTTTTTTTTTTTTTACCGTGCGGAAATCCCCTCGGCGACCGCTTAAACTACAACGCCATCCATGCAGAAATGACTTTTCAATCACTTACATATATGCATTTTTGAACTTTAAAATTATTTTATAATCCTTACATTCATTCTATACGTGCTATCATAAAGGTACTTATGGAGTTTACATATCTAAAAACGTGACTAGGAATGAGGAATGCTTTAGTTTTTTGCTTTAACGATTAACTGTATTATTACTTTATAGTTTGAAGCGTGTATGTCTATAAGATGTACCTTTAACTTTTGATGACCTGTCATTGAGTAAGTGAGCAAGTGAGTCAATGATACACTAACATTTAAAGTAATTTAAAAATAATAAATTTGAGAATTTATCTTGAATGTTTAATCACTGAAAATTCAGGATTCCGGCTCTATTCACCTAGAGATTAATGAGGGATTGCTCAACTGCCCAGTCACAGATTAAAAATACACCTGCTTTTAATTTGCAGTAGGTCCATTTATAACGACAGCGCAGAATTTTTGTTGGAGAAATTCCAAGCCTTGCCGTATGTCGTTAATTAATACAATGCTGATGATAATACATTACATTGTACTATTTGCACGTAGATTACGATCTTGTTTATTAATGTATGTAGTTATTCTCACCTATATCTGAAATCCAAATTACATGTATTACATGTCATAGTGATTAGGTTTCCTTCGCTGTTCTTAATATACTCCTTGAAAATTATACAACACCAAGAAAATAGAAATGAACACATAAAAAAGAGTAAAGTAAAAGGTATTAATGAAAAAACATTATATTAACTATTTTACTAAAAATTTACTAAGTATTACTCACGCTGATTTTGTGTTGATATTTTTATTGTTGTTGTATGTTCAGATAATATGTTGATGACGTAGATTGTATATGTTGATATTGTTATGTTCGTTAAATCGAATAATAAATTTGTTTATTTTGCAAACTTAAGGTACAAGTAAAATAATCTTGTACCAAGAGAATAAACGTCTGCTAGTGTGCTAGTGCCATGTTTCGGCACGCATAGGCCAACCGGAGTGATACCACGGCCTCACAGAAAACCGGTAAGCAATTTTTTTGTCAAGGGGGGGGGGGACTCAAAGGGCGGCAATTCCTTTTTGACTCGAGTGTGTACTTGATAAATACTGAGGTAGATACTTACCGTCAGGGGACCCGTCTGCTCGTTTGCCCCTATAAAAAAAACTTCGCATTCATTTTCGTCTTTTTTTTATTCATTCATTCGCGTCTTTTACTCGTGAGCTCAGCACGTGAACTTATTTATTCATAATAACCCTAAAAAGAAAGCTTATATGCATATTCCTCTTCATAATTTGAAATCGTACTTCATAATATGTATCTGATAAACATAATTAGTAACGAACGTATGTGTAATTAAATACTAGCACTATAAAAATAGGATTTCAACAAGATTTATCCAAAAAAAAATATTAAAAAATAACGTTAAAAATTTAAAAATTGCAAAAATTCACCTTTCCAAAAACACCTCCGAAGCTTCCGACTCGCTACGAGGCAAAATGAGTTTTGGTAGCACCATTCCTTTTTTTCGTCTTCCCCGTATACCAGATGGTGATGGCCATAGCAACTCCGAGGTTGCCATAGGACTATGAGGACTGAGGATAGTGAGACGTCGTTCAGGAGGTGGCAGGCTAAGTTGTTGTAAAGCACGCCGTTCTGTGCTAGCGAACAACCCACGTCTTTTTTCGGCAGATGTGCCCATGTCTTCACCTGATAATGCCCGTCGAGCCGGTGCACCCCGTGACTCTCGAACATCACGCTCACTTGCAGTCAAGAAAGAGCTCCGATGAGTGCGAACAGTAGTACAAGAGCTGGCGGGGCGGGCCGGTGACGAATCCTTACTTGGACGGAGACTTTCCATGGAACGGGCTGTTTCAACACGTGCTGCGACTAAATATTGCCCGCTAGTTATCGTAGTCTGTGCCACCTCGCATTCTTCTTGGCTCGAACTCGAGGTCCCACTTCGTGAGAAGGTGCTCGTTTTTGAAGCAAAACTTCTGTCACTATATTGAGCTGCCGAAATACTCGAGGTATTTGCATCTGCAGATTCTGATGAAGCTTGTTGTCGTATGTATCCCTCCTCGAGGGAAGCGTGCACGACTCGAGCGTTAAGTGAGCTAAAAGTGGCAAGATTAGGCCGTCGGCTTTTTCTTTCATCGTCTTCCTCCTCCATTTTTAATATACTTCCCTAAATTACCTCCACTAGCACATGTAAATCAACCGCAACACTATTCAATACACAATTTATGCATTTCAATATTTTTATTTATTTCTTATAAACATTGCTCTTACACAAATAATAAAATAAAATACTTAATAAGGAACACTGGACACAGTCTTTATCACTCTTTGAGACCACCACACACGCGGAATAAGGCAGACACCTGAAACAATTTATTTTAATGAATTACATTTAAGTTTATAAACTGTGTATATAATTTAGTTGATGTAAATATAGTAGAGTGTAGTAGTAGAATGTAGGTAATAAGGTTGGGATAATTTGATGTTTCAGAGTTTTCGTGCTCAATAAACATTAGTAAGAAACTACTATAATTAAGAAATACATTAATAAGACCGTTTGGTTAGTTAGAATATTCAAAGTTCTATGCCAAATTACAGATACGGTGTTAATAATTTTAGTTAACGTAGGGATTTTGATTTTCATTACATTCAGTTTGCAGCCTTTGAGTCGAGCGTCAGCTGACCCGCCTGATTCGCGCAGTCCGTCAGGGCTTTAACTTGTTCCGCATTCAACCCGGTGGCTTTCACCTTCACGTCAGCACTTTTCGAATGTTCGCTGCTTTCACTGCTAGATTCCACTCTTTTTGTTGTCTCGTTTCCATGTTCATCAATGAAGGTTTCCTCTTCAAATTCTTCCTCATAACTAGATTGAAAATGTTCACGAAATTCCTGTCTAGCTTCAATAGAAACTTTTTCTGTCGTCTTCCTCTGTTCAATCAGTTCATCCATAGTCTTTTTGACGAGTTGCTGACCGGCTTGAAGTTGTTTGCTTTCAGACATTTTCGTAGGTAAATCTATAACTGTCGAAAAATTTCATATTATTGCATTGTAGGATGATGTGTTGTTTAACAGATAGTTCCTGAATTATTCAGTGTCTGTTTTGTTTAGATACAGAAAGACTTTTATAACTCAAAAGATACGAGTATAAGAATTTACGTTGTTTTAAAAATCGTAAAACAGAAGAAAAAATAAACTTGTCTATATGGTGCATACGGCAACTTTACAAGAAGACCTGAGCTTCATAGAAAACGATAGCATTAGTTGGCGTCATGCCAGTCAGATCGTATTTGAACAGCATTTATATTTATGTTGTTCGAGAATTTCGGGATCCGAATAGAAATCAGTCGCCCTCAATCATAATTTCTTGTGAAAAGAAAAGGAATGGAATGTTCAATTTTCACAGATAAATTATAAATAAAATTTGAGGAAACTACAAGTACAATGAATCATAATTTTGTATACCACTCTGTACAATAGAATACGAAATGAATTTTTGAGAAATGACATTCCAATGTTGTGTCTATTTTAGGTTATCTTGTATTTTATCTGTGAATCATTTGTTTGATAAAAACTTAACTCCTTATATTTATTTTTATAAATTATGGCAAGCGGTCAAAAGTAATTTAATATCTGCATTTCATTGCCCTGTTACAGTCCCACAATGCCGTTGCCCACTAATGTGGATGCGTAAAAACAAAGACTTAATTTTGCAACTTTCTAGAAGTTTCTCTTCATTTTTTTTTACTGTGTATCGCTATTTATACAATAAAAATTCAGCGTAATGAAATATCACTCTTATATTCTAAATTTTACAATGTTTTTTTTTTAATGGATGGATGGAAACCAGCAGAGTAGCTTTATTCGTGTTTAAAAACCCATAGTTAAAGTTCTACTTAGTTAAGTTAGGTTAGTTTAGGCGCCAATATTTTATAGACTTATTTCAAAATGCCGACTTCTAGTAGAAACAAATCTTTATCTTTTCAAATTCAAAGCTTTGTATCAACAGAGACAAATTAAAATTTGCGATACATTTGAAACAATTTGTTCTCGGATAGCGTTAGTGAGCCAACAATAGAATTTCATGTGTATTAAAAACGTGGAAATACCTGACGGAGTTTACTTGACCTATTTTACGGTGGTAGGGACAAACATTTTTCGTGATGCTTTGGCAAACATAGAAGTACGTTAAGTTTCTTCCCCATATTAGGATATTTCTTTCAAAGCGCAAAACATGTTTTAAACATGTTAGTTTAAACAATATTCAGCGTGGTTAATAGATACCGCAAAACAAAAAATTTCAGCGTCATTAAACAATTTGTAGTTCAACCAAATACTTCCAGGTAAACGAATAAAAAATACAAAGTTAAAAAAAAACTCGATCTTTAACTGATTAAAAATAAATGATTAAAGTCAAACCAAAAGAAAATGTTTAAGTTCAAATTATTCGTTTGCATTTCGTTACTGTTACAATAAGTTGGATAGTTCAAATTTTATCCTGTTCAGGTAGCACGAGATAAAATTCTTGTTACAGAAATCATTCTTGTTAAAGGAATTATATACATATTATACCACGTGAGTTTATAATAAATAAAAATATTTACCTTTAAAATTTATAAACAAAAATTCCTGCCCGATTTTTATATTTCACTGTGAATTTCTTCAAAGAAGCTTTAAGTCTGGAGAAGTTATCTTGCGCAAGCTCGCGAGCTGACTGAATGGTGGCAGACGCAGTATCGCGCTTTGTTGCGTGTGAAGCTTTGCGTGGGCGCATATACATATGTATGGAGCTACCTATGAAGATATATGACGCACCAATGATGCGGTGAGTTTTGCTTCGTCTGTTGGAAATAATACTCTACATCTGACTTGGCAAATAAACAATTTTTAATAATTAATTTTGGCATCGAATATGGTGATTCACGTCTCTGTACTAAATTATAACACTATACACTCAAACCAGATGAATAATAATTTTTCAAGTGATAGACGTAGTGATATATCGAGGACATATACTTATAAATATTAAACGTCTACACATTATTAATTGTATAACTCTGTCAAAATAAAACATTTGGATAAAGCGCTTGAGCCAAATAAGAAATGCCACACTTGGATAATCTACCAAAAATAGCAACATGCGTCACAATTCAGCGGAGAATGCGAACGATGACTTGTTCTGATGAAGAGGGCAATACTCATTCGGCGATATGAATAATGATTGGCAAAGCTCGCGATGACTAAGTTTATCAACGATGCAATTAAATGCCCACGATTTCAAGAAAATGGAAAACATACTTCACTGACGCGATTGTTAACGGCTAGAAGTCTAAATATGAGTCTGACGTGTCTGGTATTTATATTGTTTTATTCGCTCTATGTTCGAGTCTCTATTAATACCTTACAGCCCTACTGACCGTTGTTAAAAAAAGGTATGTGCATACGTTTTCTATAGATATCTAAGGCCACAGATTCATAGTAAGTACATCCATATGACACAAGGAAGTATTATGGCCAGTCGTACGGTAGCTAATTTGCAAATAGTTAATAGTTTTTAATGTGCTTCATTAAACTACTTTCAAGTTGACTGCACGGATGGCGTAGACTACGCTGAGTGTTGTGGGTCCGATCCCCACATAGGACGACACTGTGTGTGATCGACAAATAGTTGTTCTGACTCTGGGTGTTCTTTGTGTCCGTTTCATGTATGTTTGTAAAGTTCCCTTGCGACACAGGATATGTTCCTAATGCGGGAGTAGTCTTTAAAAAAAAAACTATTGGGTCATATAGTCAATTAGTATTTCTGTTGTATTAGGCATTATCTATATATTCACCCTACAAGTAATTTGCATTCAAAGGCCTGTATTATGTAATAGATACACTTCTGCACGTTTATAAGTAGCTCAACCTAAAAAATGCATTTTTGAAAAGGTATTTGTTTTTTCGAAAGTAAAAAAAGAATTTATGTGAAATTTTTACCTTGATTTTCACAATAGTAAACTTTGTTTCAGAATATCTCGAAAATCTTCGCGTGTCACGCCCTCCTAGTCTACTGGGGTACATTAGCGTCACTAACGGCACCTACAAGTGATGTCTCTAATATCTTTTTCTAAAAATACTGCAGTAACCTATCTTATACATATGCCATAGGTACGAATGTGTTTATTTGTTAATCTAATGATCAGATTATCTGAGTCATAGTTTCGTTATAACACATCATACATTCAGAAGGAGCTTCTTTTATATATATTTTTTCATAAAGAGATGACACATAGTACTTGTAATCTTTCCATTTAAGGGTACACTTTAGCCCACCGGTTCATTTGCCTTTCACAATAAGCACAAGCCTCGTCTTGTTACCTCAAGTGCACAAAGCCAACAATTTACCTTAACGACAAAGAGAGCTAACGTGAAGAAATCCTTCAACTGCTAGCAGAACATTGCCGAAGGAGAATATATATTTAATCATTTATATACTTTACGGTGGTGATGGATTAAGAATATAGAGTGTCACCCCTATTCATCCTGTGGGTGTCGTAAGAGCCGACTAAGGGAGTAAACTACGCAGGACTGAGGTGATTGATGATACTTTACTTGAAGATTCAAGAGCTTGCTTCATCTATCCAAAGAAATTAAGTTATTATTGCAGGAAAAGCTTAACATATTACAGCAACTGGTGCAAAAATGATATCACGTACATATTCGTATTGATATTGATATTAAATGGAATGTAAATATCTAAGAATTAAGTAAAATGTATTTATTTCATGTAATAATTATCCCTTGAATGTTGTTACAACTAAAAATGTCTTTTGTACTTTGTTTGAATTTACGACACCAGTTTATGAACCATATTTATTTAATCGTCATTAGTGAGGTTATAATTTATGTTTCTAAGAGCTAAACTTAATAACCAGAAAGAAGGTTGATGCCAATCAAGTTAAATTAATGATTGAATCTCGCAATTTACACTTTTTGAACAGGGTTGGATTAGCAAATAGGAGGGTTATTGATAACAGCAAGACATTTTTTGGTAAACATTTGACTTTGAGAGATACAAGGTGAATATGCATACTTTTTTACACTTATAGGTATCACTTTGTTGGAACATTCTGTCGACCCGATAGGAGGTTATCCATTTGACACGCATGTGTTCATAATGCGTGCTAAAGTTCGCCTGAAAATCCCACTTTTACGACTCGTAAAACAAATTGTAATAGATACTACTAATTAACTAAGCATAGCGCGTTGTAGCAAAATTAACGTGGTTACAAAAATCACTAGCTTATTATTTGACACGAAACTATATTAGTTATTCGGTTACGTAGATAGGTATTGTAAGTACTGATATAATGCTCTCACCTACTGAATATATTCTGTTTCGTATGACTCAGATATTTAGTTTGGATTATATAAGTAGACACGCATGGAGGTTCCCTCCATTGCTGTTTTGCAAATCGAGGGTGGCGCGGCAGTCGGTAGATTGTAATCGTAGCGACGGAAACAGCCACCTTTGCGTGCCTGCTACATTACGATGCACCACGGTCTTTGCATTTATTACTTATGTTCCTGCTTAAGTAAAGGTCATATTCCAAGAACAAATTCAGCTTAAAGTGGTTGCTTGCAAATGCAGTTTGTTTAAATTTAAAATTGTGACAATATCACGGTGTAACTATATTTTCTGACACACTAAGAAAAACTTAATGTTTTGAATCAGCTTACTAGTTTAAGGCTTTGATACCGGACTATGATAATCTGACCTTCATGAGCATTGGTCCTGGGGTAAAGGTGAGACTGCTCGTTACCCTAGCAGGAACAATCCTGAGGCGATGACTTCCTTTTTATGGTTTACCCGAATCCACAGTAATAGGCTTACATGTGATAGAACTCCATGTGGTTTGATTCCGACATCCCACTTCGAGTTAAGTGATATGTTACCTGATTACTCAAAGGCGGCTGGATCAATTAAGAAACCTCTTATTTTTCGACGATAAATTTCTTTTCTTTATCATTGTATGTATTTCTTTCTTATTTCTTATCTCATTGTACGTACTTTCCTTTAGCATTCTTTTATTTATCATGTATACGAGTACTTTCTTGAGGATTCCATTGTAACCAGGTCAGTATCAGATTTATCATTTATAGGTTATTGGAAAAATCGAGGGAACTTTCCAAATATTAAAGGCAAACTTTTTATGCTAACTTGTGCATTTGCTTTCGGAAAGCACGATTTCGTAAAGTCAAATCGATTATCATTAATGTCAATAATAAGTGTCTAACTAATTGCGAATCAGTTAATTTGAGCTTGCTCAGATTGCAAACTGTTGAAAACACAGCCTACATACCCAGTCTAATCAAGTCAAGCTCAGCTCAGCTTAAATCTGTGAAAGTCAAATGTCAATATAAAGTAGTAGTATTCCCTAATAACACTATGAAATAACTTGAAACGAACATAGGTACCAACTGTATTTAGAATAATGGAAATACGTATAGCGATAGGTGGTATACCACTAGGTTATAGAGTAATATTGTAACTCAATGTTAAGCTTTGTTAATAATGTTTATAATATTATAGTTATTTCGTCACAATCAAAGATATTAAGGCACGTGTACGTTGGAGATACGATTACATTGTTATATGAGAAGCCTAGGGTCCGGAGCTTACAAGGCTCATATACATAATTAAAGGAGTCATTTATTAGGTTGGTGGGTTTTAGCGGAGAATCAAGTGACTAACAATATCTGGTATCTGATTATATGTGATTCCTATTTCCTAATTCCTACTTACGACGTGACGTAATACGTCGTAAGTAGTGGTCAGTAAAATGTTAAAATTTGAGCGAATTATTTCAGTATTATACTGTTATTAAACTAGAGTTAGTTGCTTATTAAATTGTCCAATAAATAAGACATTCCCGAAAACAAGAAACCAAATAAGTAGGCTTAGATACATATTGATGCATACAAATATTTCAAAGGGTAAAGGATACCTTTCTAGTTGATTCCATTGCATTGATGTTCTGATAATCGATCCTAGATAAATCGAGGGCTTCTCAGAAAATTTAGGTACAACAAAAATTGCAGATTAAATTGGATGGACTGCCCGAAATTGTAAGAGTTCTTTTGTGCCTTTGACTACAGAACCGGCAGATCGCCTACGATATGGACGAGATAGACGAATAGTCCATATATAAATCATCGAAAATTATCAAGGCATCGATGACATAATTCAGTTGGTATCACAAGGTTAAAGATCGCATGTCAAATTTAACATCTGGGTTAAATATTTTGATGTGAATTTCACAATATTGCGAAGAAAATATTTGTTGTATATTTTAAATAGATTTATAACCTCTTCTGACCTTTATACACGCACGGAGGTAATTTTCTTCAGTGAAGGTAACAAACTTTTATGAGTCACTATTAAGACTAAAGTAATGTGTTAAGATTGATTCAGGTGTTTTGACATTTCTTTTCATTTTATGAATTTCCTTTAGTAATAACATTTTTAGTTTCATCATCATCATCCTCAGCATCATCAACAGCCTTTAATAGTCTACTGCTGGACGTAAAGAGAGGCTCCTTAGAAAGGAGGTTTTGGCCTACTATACCATGTGGGCCAGACGGGTTGGTATAGGGTTTGTTTCAAGTTTTCCTTCGTTTTGCAGTGCTATTGTCCTACGTAGTTGGCTCCCTAAATCGGCTCTTACGATACCCACGAGATGAATAGGGGTGGTGACAATCCATATTCTCAATCCGTCACTACACTGACAGTTTAGATCCTTAGTTTAGTTGACCTTTATCAGTGGAAGCGTAAGTAACAAACAAACAAACTTAATTTCACATTTATAAGTATGGATATTTAATTTATGGATATATATGAAATGTTAATTACTTTTAAAAATGTTGTTTTTTTTTGTTAAATTTTAGTAAATAGAAACTGAAAGAAATGCAAAGTAATACTATCTGTTATTTTGCAAACTAAAACATAAAATGAAACAGAATAATCCTTATTGTCCACCAACAACACACAGCTTAAAATAAATACACAAAGTGGATATGTACAATGGGTGACCTTATCGTCTTATTGCCGTAACCGACCATATGTCGCCATGAAATAAATATCTACACAGAGCGGAGAATCAGGCAATCGGTAGTTGTATAAAAATATACAATTGGTTTTCATTAGACTTGCAACGAATATTCGGTTACTATTCGGTATTCGGCATATTCGGCTGCTTTTATTATATTCGGCCGAATACCGAATATCTACATACTATTCGGCCGAATACCGAATACTTAAATAATATATTTTGTCATTGAGAAATAATTGGTAAAATGAAAAATTAAAATCGATTGATTACGTATATATTCATATTTTCATTTCTGTTATAATCATTTAAGTAGTCATTGGTGCATAACACAGGTACATAATCATCTTCTGAATTGGAAAAATGGAGGATTCTATGTATTTGAATTATTGTGGTAATCAAAATTTAGAAGGGTAAGGTTCTCATTTCTTTTATAATCATTTATTAAGTAGTCATTGGTACATAAAACAGGTACATAATTTAATTCACGTCTGTACAAGTTTTTGGCGCTAAAATCCAGCCGAATACTTTTGCCTAATATTCGGCTATTCGGTCAGGGGCCTCGCCGAATATTCGGTATTCGGTATACTGCCGAATATACTATTCGTTGCAAGTCTAGTTTTCATACTAAACTTGAACTTTTATCATAGACTATTGTAATATATTTTATTATAACGGACTCAAAAACGCGAAGGTTCCTAAAGATGTATTTTTAAGCTTTTTACCTCACAACTCCGTCCTATTTCATTTCAAAGATAAATATCACTATAAAGTATGTACAATTCGTCATGATCTAAACGCATCGACGACAGTGACTTGACGACAGTGTCTTAAAAGTCAATAATCAGAAATATTCATAGTTAAATAACTACTATTAAAATGGAACGGTAACGGTAATATATATATTTAAATATTACTAACACATTCCTGCAACTAAGTTTATATTTTCCATTCGATGCTGCGACGCCGTCC